TTCATCACATCGGTGGGTCTCCAATTTTAGTGCATAAGAATCTCCTGAAGAATTGTTAGAAAAGCAGATTCTAGGCTCTCATCCCCAGAGACTCTGGCTCATTCCATCCAGTGTGTGGCCCAGGAATACTCAAGAATCAGTGAGGACTGTTTGGGTACAAGTGGCAGAAATCCAACTCTAACTGGCTCAGGCAAAATTGAAAATTTATTTGCTTATGAACTAGAAAAATCCTGAGGTTGAAAAGCTTCAGGCATAGCTGGATCCAGGTGCTCAAACCTGATCAGGAATCAGTATGTCTCCATTACTCAGTTCTCTGTCCTCTGTGATGGCTTCACTCTGAGGCAGCCCCTTCCTTCATGATGTCGGGATGGCTCCCAAGAGCTCCAGGTTTCTCCATCTCCATCTACATCAATAACCCTCATAGAAAGAGAGTGCTTTTCCCCTAATTTTTCCAGCAAAGTCCCAGGACAGATTCTGTTAGCCTCAGCTGGGATCAGGCCAATGACCAGACCAACCACTGTTGGTTTCCAGGGAGACATGGAATTCTCTGATTGGCCAGGCCTGTATCAAGTTGTCAATCCCTGAATTTGAGGGTGGAGGTAGCTCCCGACATCCCACCCATTGAGTGGGAGAGGGCTGGCTTTCCAAGTAAAATCCAGGTGTGGTTATCAGAAGAGCGATGGATGCTGAGGAAGCAAGTGCCAAAGATGTTCCCTGTGCAAGTGCTTCCCAGCTAGAATGAGCACACAGATCACCTGGGCCTTGTTAAAACACATTCTGATTTGGGAGGTGGGGCCTGAGATTCTGCATTTCTAAATGCTGCTGGTCTTCACACTGGCCACACTTAGAGTAGCTGGGCACTCTGTCTCATTTCTAAATTCACTTCAAGCCTCCCTGCAATAGAGCTTTTGCTGTCCCCGGCCCGTAGAGGGGTCCTGGACTATGTAAACCCCTTTCCTCATCCTTTCCCACCCTCGCCCCATCCCATGGTTCAATGCACCCAAACATCAGTGCCGTCTATTTGGGGACCACTAATCAACATATTGTAGGCTCTGCTCCCAAATCACAGTGGAAGAAACTGTCCACTGTGTCCTTCAGTGACGTTTATACGAGGATCCACACAATAAATTCTCTTTTGAATTCATGCTCAAAAATATTTATTTCTGTCAACAAATTGCCATGCTTCCTGGGATTTTATGGTGACAGCGTACAAGTTCCCTTTTTACCTTGGCTACTAGGAAGCTCAGGGATCAATCTAGTATGCAGTGGCAATAGCAGCCACACCCTAGGCTTCTGGTTCAGTAATCTTTCCTTTCTAATTGCTGGTAGCATAACCTTTTGTGAGTCTTGAAGTGCTTTGCATATGGTTTAATATTATAAGTTCCCTCAAATTCTCTTTGGGAGTCAGTGCTTTAGAACATTCTTGACTTTCCCAAAATATTTATTGAAATCCTCCACAGTCTTCAAAACCCAACTCATCATTATCCTGCTGCTCAATTATTATAAACAGGTTGCTTTTTTTATGTACGCTAACATACACATGTTAGTGGCAGAACTGGAATATAAATACATTTGGCAAAAATGGCTTGGTATTATATGTGTTTTGCAGTTTGCTTTTTTCACTCACCAAGTATCTTAGCAACCTTTGTATGGCTCTGACTATCTGTGTCAATCCCTACCACTTTCTTTGCAAGTGGCTTTGGAATGTAATTCTCTGTGTCCAGTCTTCCCTTCTCAACCTGGTCCCTGGATCAGGACCCACATCCTGACATCAACGTAAGTTGGACTGACTACATAGAGCATAGGCTCTGGGCATACATTTATTCACTAACCGTGCGTTGTGCTCCTACTGTGTGCCAGGGAGGCACTGAGCTAAGCACTGAGGGACACAGACATGAGCAAGATCAGCAAATGCTGTGTGCGAGGATGGAAACATCCTGTATTTGCACCGCTGAATACAGTATCTTTAGCTACAGGCAGCATTTGAGCACCTGAAACATGGTGAATCCTCACTGAGTTGTGCTGTTCGTGTAAAGTACACACTGGGATGCAAAGACTTAACATGAAAAAAAGAACATAAAGTAACCAGCCGATAATTTTATATTGATTAGCTGTTAATAAGAATTTTGACATTGGGAAAAATAAATATATCTGAAAATTAGTTCACTTGTTTCTTTTTACTTTGAAAAATATGGCTGCAGAAAGTTTTAAGTTATATATGGGGCTCACATAACATTTCTAGGTCTAGTGGTCATGAAAATGGTCATTTCTGAGGCCACTCCATACTGCACAGTGGAATGGTTCTCTGGGTTTAGGGGCATAGTCACATTTTATGCAAATTCGGCTCCTGCTGGTTTGCCACTTTTTAAAAAAAATCACACATTATTGTGCAAAACTGAATTAAAAACTTATTTTTAAAAAGTTAACTTCTTAAATGTTGCAGTATCTAAGCTTATGGGCCAAAGGAATTGCAATCTGTCCCTGCTTTTGTTCCAGGACAAGGCCATGATGCTAGTTGACAGAGATGGTTATGGTGAACATTTCTGAGCACCTACTGTGTGCCAGACACCTTTACGCTTATAACTCACTCTGTGCTCACCAGCATCCTCTGAGGTAAAACCCCACCATCCTTTCTCAGAGATGGCCTTGGATCATGCATGAACACAGGGCTTTCAGAGACCCATCTCTAAGGACCCTGTGGCCATCTCGAATATGTAACTTGTGATGTAAATGATACTTAATAGGTGCGCAGAGAGATGGAAGAAGCTGCCCTATATCACACAGCAGTGCTCTTCCCAGGACAACCTCGTTAATCAAAATACAGAAAATGCAATCATGTTATACCATATCAAACCACACAATATGCTGTTTTATTTTCCAGAGCTGTGATATTTATCACAAATCAAAGAAGTGTTAGTTTGATTTCTGTTTTAAATTAATACAAGCACAACCCAGCTGGTGTGGCTCAGTGGCTGAGCATCGACCTATGAACCAGGAGGTCACAGTTTGATTCCCCAGGTCAGGGCACATGCCTAGGTTTTGGGCTTGATCCCCAATAGCGGGCATGCAGGAAGCAGCCGATCAAAAACTCTCTCTCATCATTGATATTTCTATGTCTTTCTCGCTCTCCCTCCCTCTCTCTGAAATCAATTAAAAATAAATAAATTAATACAAGCACATTATAAAGCAGTGATTAATTGTGATAACTTTTCAAATTCATGATCTGGCACTCCAGGAGTCTGAATTCCTTATTTTATTCACAAAAGGCAGCTGAAGCAAAAAATGCTTAAATCCTGAGGTGGTAAATTGTTCCCAATTCCCACCAGGACAGACAAAAACATCCTTGTAAATAGAAAGAATTTTTTTCAAGTAACTCCCCTAAGCCTAAGAATTTGAATTTTTTTCCCTTTAAACCACTAACACATGTTTATTTTAACAAGTATAACTGAGTTCTAACTGTTTTAGGAGAAAATTTCAATTGTACAGAGATGAGAGAAAACAATGACTTCCTTATGTGGCTGCTCACAGCCTATCTCCTCAGCAAATACACATGCACATTTTGAGAAAAGAAAGGAAATATTTCTACCACTTTTACAATGAAACTTGACTCTTATCAGGTAATGTTTTCTCTACGTATTTTTAAATTAATTGATTAACCCATCAGCACAGTCTATCAGCTCTCCCTCCAAAATGGCCCTGAATCAATCTGTCTGCTTCTTATCTCAATAGCCACCACCCTGGCCAGGCCACCATGATCTCATGCCTGGACAACTGCAGTGGACAGGGTTTCCTGCCCTGCTCCCTACAGTCCATCCTTAACCCAGAAGCCAGTAGGATCATTTAAGTTGAATCCCGTCATTCTCCTGCCTAAAGCTTTCCATGGTTTCCCATCACCCTTAGAATCCAGTCCAAATTCCTCACTCGCTGTCCAAGATGTGGTAATTTCATCACATACCATCCTCTCCCCTGCCTGTGATCTCCAGCCACACTGGCCTCTTTGCAAGTGCCTCATTCTCTCCAAGCACATTCCAGCCTCAGGACCTTTGCACTTGCTGTTCCCTCTGCCTGGAACACTTTCCTCAGAGTGTTGCACGACTGACTCCTTTGTGTCATTCAGGCCCCAGGTTCAACATCACCTCCTCAGAAAGGCCTTCCCCAACCACCCGATCTAAAGAGGCCTCCTAGAGCCCTGTGTGGCTCAGTTGGTCGGGCACCGAAATGCTGCTGGTTCTTTTCCAGTCAGGGCACATGCCCGGGTTGCAGGCGCCATCCCCGTAGGGGGTGTGCAGGGAGAGAGTGCTGTTCGCTCTCACTTGGGTCTTTCTCTCTCTCCCTCCCTCTCTTCCTCTCTCTTTAAAAGTCAATTAAAATTTTTTTTTTAAAAATAAATAAATAAAGAGGCCTCACAGAGATGTTCCCTATCATTTCCTCTTTTATTGCCCTCACACTTTTCAGTAAATAAATAAACCTTGTTATTTATTTGTCTGTTTATTGTCTGTGTCTTCCACTCATTTCCAGCATGAGCTCTGCAAGGCCATGAACTTGCTTGTCTTATTTGTGGTTTAGAAAAGTGCTCAATAAATGTTTGCTGAGTCCATGAATGAATGAAGGAAGGAGCAAATAAATCGATGAGACAAAAGGGGGGGGGGAGCTGTTATAAGGCAATTATAAAATGACAGAAGGAACACGGTGCCTTGGCTATTACTTAGCCAGATTGTCTGAGCCACATTATGTGACCTATCTTTGTCGTTTAATATAAAATGGTAATTTTTAGATAATAGTATAGTTTTACATTACTGTTTGCCTGCTTTCTCTTGTCCTTCCAACACCCTGTC